TTTTATTTCAAAATATTGCTTGTTGATATAAATAAAAAAAATATCATGTTTGACAAGTTACATCGTCTTGTCAACATATGTAAGATAAAGGCATTTTAGTGGGTTTCAACTAAAAGAATGTGTTTTCATTGTGAAAATCCCAGGCCTGCTAGCACGTCATCTATAAGTCAACGAACAGCCACCGTTTCAGGAATTCTTGGCGCATTAACTGATTATGCGCAACATCAATTATTCCAATGTCTCAATTCCTAGGAGTGCGACCTCATCAACCATTTACGTGATACAAGTGCTATGTTACGTGTTACACGCATCCTCGTGCCATGCACAAACTGTCCTCTTTTGCAAATGGTCCCCGAGATCTCGGTTAGAACTAGAGAGCCACGCGAGATATTTCAACGGCCTGTATAAGGCGTATGTTGTTGTCTGACATGTTTTTTATGCTTCTTTCACAGAATCTGCACGGCTGCACTTCTCTGACATTGCTGCCGGACTAGGAATAACATTGCTTACCCACCGATGTCACAGCGCTCCGTGAAGTCCAACTCTACATATTGCCAACGGTCTACCATCAAATATTAGTCACTGTTTTTTGTAGCCTCAACAATTGGGGATGTATTTTTTTGTGGAGTATCTGCTTTGTGTGTAAGCATCTTATATGTGTTTCACAAAGAAAGTAAGACCGATGTAGGAGACCAACAATTACTCACCAGTAACTAGATTCTCAATGGACGATATTAACATATATCCAACCGCTTCTGGCGGGGAAAACTTAGAGATGAATGTGTTACCTGCGCACGAAGGCCCGGCTGCAGTGTCTACGGAAAATGCGTTCATAACAGTGTATTCGTTCAACAGATCCAATAATCTTACAGAAGCATTTTCCTATTATGATTATGGACTAGCATTCGACTTAGAATTGATGCATCGGTACATTTTACAGGAATTAGAAGCAGAACGAAGGCGCCACAGTAAACCACAAGTCATCGCACTGATGATCTTGTACACTATATCATTTCTCACCGGTCTGGTCGGGAATTCCTTAGTTTTGTTCACAGTTGCCAAGTTTTCCCACATGCGAACGGTGACAAACGCCTTTCTGGCTAATCTAGCAGTATGTGATTTATTGGTAGTGTTGTTATGTATGCCAATCTCTCTCGGTTGGGAGATATATATGCATTGGATTTATGGACCAGTGATCTGCCGATTGGTGCCGTTTATACAGGGTGTGTGCGTATCGAGTAGTATGCTAACACTCACGGCAGTCAGTCTTAATCGTTATTACGCTATTCGAAAGCCTCTAAGAGCCCGCTCGGTTTTCACCAAAAGAACTGTTACAATTTTCATCGCTGGCATATGGACAGTGTCTGTAATTATTATGGCGCCTTTGCTGTATACCAATGATACTGAAGAACTCGCAATCAACGGAATAGTGATTGACACAATATGTTCCGAGTTGCATTGGCCTTCGAGACAGATCAAGCGTTTGTACGGTATTTTAGTTTTCCTTTTCACGTATTTCATACCGTTGCTATTCACTATTGCAGTTTACCTGCGCATTTGCCAGAGGCTGTGGAATCACGATCAAAAGTTACGACGCGATCCTCTACCTAAGTCGAAGGCACATAACGCTGTAATAGAAAATCAACTGAAGGGGAGAAGGAAAGTCGTGAAAATGCTTCTTTGGCTAGTGTCATTGTTCGCTGTATCGTGGTTACCCTTCTTCATCTCGCAAATCTATTTGGATTTTGTTAACGACGAGATTGCCATTAGTGTGCACGCGTTCTTTCTCTGGCTTGGTCTATCAAACTCTTCAATAAACCCAATCTGTTACTGTTTTATGAGCGAGCGTTTTAAAAACTGCTTTCGAATGATATGCTGCTGCCCAAAGTTTAAGAAACCACGCAAGTTTGTACGTGGGGGTAGTAGTCGGTACGCTGGTTTCTCGAGATCAAAATCGACTTCCTTCTTTCGCAGCGGGCGTACAGAGAGTATTAGATTTTCTGTCATCGACAATCCGAACACCTTACATATTAATAGTCGCAGGGAAACGCCGATATATTATCACGGCAACGGTCATGCGATTTCGCGAACTCATATACGTGGCGGCACGGTATTGTCTGATTTGAGTCTCACTGATCTGCTTCAACGAGACGACGAAATGAAGATCACAGCTCAGAATCAACTAGACGAATCGCCGCTCCAATTCAACAACAACGGTCAAACCATGCGTGGTATCTATCAGACAACTAATTTGCAAGCAATATCCATCCTTGAATGCGATGAGAGACAGCGTCCATACTCGTACACTGGATCTGATATAAGTTCGGATGCAAACTTCAAAGAGACTCAGGAGACTGTCGCCACTTCGATAGATCTACAAGAGAACTGCAGCGATCAACGTAAGGAAATTGTCGACTGGGAGAGCAGTATATAAATGGTCACCGCTTTACCATATTAGCTGATTTTTTAAATGATTCATTTTGTGTAACTACTTAAATACTGCTTAGCACTGCGTAGAGGAACATCTAACATCTATGTATGCTTCGTGACATAGTTCCAAAATGAAACAAAAAACATTTCGACTTGAGAAGTGTTGGTACTTGGAAATTCAAAATTAATGTGTTTATATATATATACTACACAATATCTTACTAAGCTGTTCTGTGGATTAGAATGTCGATTCCATCCATTTTAACATTTACTGTACTGATAATTTACACTGATTTCATTGACGCATGTTTAACTGCACTGGTTGCAGTGACTTTACGGCTTATTTTAGGTGTTATCGCAGATAATGACAGCACGTGGGGGAAGGGAAGGGATGGTGAAGTCATCAGTCACTTTCGATTCACTAAATTTAGTTTGGTTTCCTCAAATTCCATCCACTAAGGTTAGTTTCTTATAGACGTTTATTTATTATAAAGGAAATATAAATTTGTAAATTTACCGATGTTATTTTTGTAGGTATATCATGTAATGGCGAGTTACAGCAGGACTGTGTTCTTAGTGCCGTTATACATATATAATTTGTGTTGAGTATCCACTTGTACATTCATCGAACATTATTTCATATCATGTGTCAGCCAGAGCAATTTGAATATTCCTGCATAATGAAATCTCATATTGAAATAGACGCTAGTAAATGTGCGCGATGGTTCATGAACGAATCGAGACACTGATTTTTCTTTCTTTCAACAGTCGAAAAATACATCACCTTAAATATGCATTTACATACACTGTAGGTTCAAGTTGTCATTTTTTAAAATGCATTATGAAGTTGCACTTAGTACAAAACCAACCAAATTTCTATAACTAATAGCTTTTTAACGGAACATGGTACTTGTTACATTCACTCAGTATCCATCAACTATCAGTTTCTTTCACGCTTCACACATAACCCATATTCGCTGATCGTCACATTACCAGCAATATATAACAAATACACGCGATACATATTATAACGTGAGTTCGTCCCTTATAACCCCTCTATTATTTATAACATAACAATTATAAACTAATCTTGAAGATCATCCCTACATTAACGTATATCCGATTGCTCAAAACTATAAAATTATAGTGGCGGTATTGTTTAGACAATTATCCAAGTGTTATTAACGTTCTTCTAAACACGCCGGTGTTCATTCATTTATTTATTCATTCATTCCACTTTTTCCGGTACTAAAACTGCTTCCGAATGATAATTCACTGTAAGTGGATTCAAATGCCGAAAAAAAATGATAAAATAAAATAGCAAATATAACTTGACTTGTAATTCATGTATATTATATATTAACCAATTTCTTTAAGGAATAAGTACTGCACAACAAATATCTGATATTAATTGACTTTTGCAATAATCTTAATTAAAAGAACCTCTATTTTTGCGTGTATATTACACGCATTAAATAAAAAAAAGTCTTGTGCAGTATATTTTACAATTTATTTCTGCTATGGTTTTCATATCCACAGAACAATTTATTTGTTTCAAATATGTATTTGGTTCTTACATCAGTGTTGAATTTAAATAAACGTTACATGATAACATGTAATAAACATGGGACTTCATACCTTGTTCGTTTCTCGTCAGTCTGTTTATTTAAGTCGACTAATTTAACGTCTCCTGTCTAAAAAATTGATGATATCATTCAATGAATAATGACGATGGTAGCGATACGAGTAAGTAATATTTAATGGGAAACTCACTGAGGTTACAGTGAGATGTAACAATTTGTAGATGATATTTGCTGGAAGCCTTCATAACAGACATCATGTCTCTGATGCAAATATCTTCATTGTGCAATTTGCGAAACATCATCATCCTAGAATTATTTCAATATATCTCCCATTCGCTGCATGGTAATATGTTAATCATATGAGGTTGATTGTACTATAAAATCACTTAATTCTGACCATAGTTTAGTCAAATATCAAGCACTTAGTATATTGGAAAAAAACTACTGGTGTAATTAACGTTACATTAACCGTTTTGATTGAACTTATTGTTGGAAGTCTCATCAGACAACATCACTTTGGTAACATCGCTAATGGCAATTCTAATCGCGAGGAATATGTTAAAATTCTAGCCTACAGAAATACAGGTACATAATCCGACTAAATCCCCCCTCACCGTGATTGATCAAAGACTGCATTTTATACTCTGAACAGATTGAATTGCCAAGAAGGAAACATGTCTTTCTGTGTGTAGAAATGTATCAGGTAAACCATAGATTAACTCTTCAGCAGGCAGGTTTTCAAATTATGTAGTAATTATGTATTCACTACCTTGACGCATATTTCTAACGCTGTATTACATTCAGACTTAATTAGGGTTCGATACATGTTATCAAATTTATTTAGGCAACCAGACGAACATTAACCGACATGGAATGTGCGAATTTCTCATATGCTAATCTGCCACGTGTGATGATGATACGTAACTATTCGGAGTTCTGTGTGGTTATATACCCTTTAATTATCAGAATTAATTGCCACGGTTGTGGCAAAACAGAATCAGTACAACATTTTTCTCAATAATGATTTCTCCAGGTAATGCTGGGATGATGGTAACCCATAGAGCAATAAGTTGTTATAGTCTAAACTTGTTTATTTTTTCCAATTTTGTATAGGCCATAATTTCCCATTATTACGAGCGTCACTGATATACCTGGGAGGATCAATGTTGTCTATCCTCATATAGGACTGATTAAATACTAAGGTAATACTCATGTTATGGTGGAAAAGCTATAGAAAGCTAAACATACAATAGGAAGAGTAAGCTTAATTTTAACATGTTGAAAATGAATGAAGAGAAGAGACTTCAGTACTGTTATTCGGAGGGTGTGTGAATAATCCAATAATGTATATGATTGGGCTGCATGTTCAACAGATGTATAAGTATTACTTTATTGGTTAGTCTTTGGCCAGGCAGTATTTTCTCCCAATATGTGAGCAAAAATGGAATGTTTGTGTTGCTGAGTGTTTTATAACCTAACATAGTCACACAAGTTCGCTCGTTCCTGGGATTGCTGGACCTATTTTCGCACATGTCAGAGATTCAGAGAGTTATAACTATTATCAAACCCTAATCTTGGAAACTAAAGATTGTTTCGGTACTTCAAGGTCATATTGCAGCATCAGTGTCATCATGCATATCCATACTTACGTGGCAGAATATTGCCACTAATTTGGGAATTAATATTATTGATTATTGTCTGAACTGTTTGTGAGTTTGTGACAGGGACTTACCACACTCCGACCACAACTAAACTACAATTTGCGATTTACGATTTTGAATTAAATTGCAATATCATATAGTATTGCAATGTAAGTAAAAGCAAATAAATTGTAATAAAGAAGAAACCAATCTAACTAACATTTTAGTAAACTCAATTGAATTGCATCTCTGTATAAGGTTTATTTGAATTGAATTCATGGCAGTAGAAAGAACATCATGCAAATAGTAAATTGGTTTGTAATAGTTTATAGTACAGGTTACCATAAATCATCTTTTCTATACCTCTGCGCGGTTTGTGGTTGCCTCACACTCCCCGGTCTTAAACGGCCGCATTATCGACGGGAAAATTGATTTGTCACGTGGAAGTAGTACATGTGTTTATGCAATGAACATCAAAGCAATTGCATGATTATATTCAATTTGAAAATTTAAAAATATCAATCGCTTTTCTCATCACTGCCTTACCTCTCTATCAATACATCTAATGACTGCTATCAATAACACAAATGATACTGTCTCAAAAAGTAGAATACACACTAAACTAAAACATAAACAGAAGTAACATTAATGCAAATTATCAAATAAATATGCAGGAATTTGTACCAACACCAGATATGGTCTTAGTATTATACCTGTACGTCAAGTTGTATATAAATCAAGCCGGAAAAAATTACATACGTCACTGGCCGGTTTGCACCTTGTACGGATGCAACAAGTTTTGTTGGTTAAGTTTCGATAAATTGTTCAGCCCATCACCATTTTCATTCGCATTAACACCCGGGTGTTGGTGGGAAATATAAGTGTTCTGCACAAACAAACAACTCCAGGGCCTTCATACGGATTTGTAAATACAGTTTACCATCATTTTTTTAGAGAAAGTCTTACCTAAACTGTAGTCCAATAAAATACGTTGTCTTTTCACTGTGTTCGAACGCTTCTGAACAGTGACGTGTTTGGTTCAAGGTCTTTCTCCGTAATACATTTTGTTGTTGTCTTGCTCCACATATGAGTAACTGTACGACTTCGCGTCAAACATTGCATCTTTAGCGGAGGAATAACTAAGCCCACAATCGGATCCATACAGAATGGTCAAGTCTCGGGAACCTTACCAACTCTTGCGCAGTGCATGTCATACTCATCACTAAACTACATACCACGTTCGTACTGAATAACACGTGTGTTTATTGGCTGTCTCTGGAACCAGAGAAAACGTTAAAGCAGTGACTGCTTTTAGTGTGGGCTTATATCAATTCAACTAATAAATATATGACAACATTCGTTGGCCGCATTCTGTGTAATTATAAAACCCAGCATTGTGCAACAATTCCAATTCAACCCTTTCAGTATAATTATTTGTTGTAGCTCTGTCAACTTTATTCTATGCTTGATTTTGTCTGAAAAAATCACTCGAACGTGTGCGTGTATCTACCTTATATAAAGTATGAAATGAAAAGCTCGGTTTCAAAGTGACACCTAAATTTGATATTCATGAACGTAACGAATGCGACTGAATCACATTAGTTGGATCAAATGAAAGACGGCGTGGTTCACGGCAAGCAGTAAACACTAACTTTAGAATAATGTGTTTTGCTGTGGGTTTCCATCGCGTTACTAATAATTAATTTGCAGCAAGCCTGGGCCCGAATCTGTTCTGTGTCGTTATAGTTTTATATCTTTTAGAACACTAACGTCGTGTCCTT